TTGTCGATACTATTGAAATGTCATTATACATATTTAGTTATTACAATCAAAGACAGAATCGGAACAAGTACATTATACCGAGAGTAAAAATAAATAATACTTATTATTTTTCTTACTCGATTACTCGATTCATTACCTCCTCAACAAGCTGCTTATTCTGCGTTTCCAAATGCGTGACTTTTGTGTACGCTTGCGTGAGATCATCACCTAACTTCTCAATTTCCTTGTGTACCGTGTCTCGTTCTCCCATGATCAAGCTGTATTCCTGCAGGGCAGCATTTCGTTCTTCTGTGAGACGTTTCATATCCTTGCTGGCCTTCATACGCAGCATCATCGCCTGATTGATCTCCTTGACCGCTTCCTCGTGCTGTTGCTGTACCTTTGCGAGTGCTTCACGATACTCGTTTCTCTCTCTTAATGCGATATCCCACTGGCGAATCGCGGCGGTACACTGCTGTTTCAAACCGTTGCGTTCGCGGAGTGCACTGTTACGTTCCTCTAGAACGCTGTCGTACTGCTTCTTTAGTCTCTTTGCTTCCTCTTGCGATAACTCTAGCTGTATTGATCACACGAGTAATTTTTGTATAAGTTTTCATTGCGCAGAAAAATATGCGCGTCAACGTTGCGTACAGGAATAACGCCTATCGACTACTTGCCTTATTAACGGCGGAAGAATGAGACGCAATAAGGTCGTCGTATCGTTTCCTGAGGGAATCGTATTCGTCCTTAACAGCTTCGTATTTTCGTAACGCCGACAGATAGTGCTGATTCATAGCATCGTTACCCGTAGCATCGGCGACGAGTACCTCTTGGTTCTGCATGCGCTGCAATTCCGAAAGTTCTTTCTGCAGTGACTGGACCTCCCGGTCCAACCGTTGCTTGTCGTTTGCCAGATCACCATATTTTGCTCGTAACGAAGAGCTTTCTTGCGATGTGGCTTCTAGTTGATTCATGACTGCTATATGTTGCCCCCGATAATACTCCAATTCTTTCATAGTAATCTCACACCTGTGCATTACAGACTTCTTTTTACAAGCCCTTATAATTAGCCTGAAAGTGCCAAGTTTTTAAGCATCAAGCATAAAAGAACTGTGAGGTGTGTAAATATGTACATACATGATTGAAAATATGTTAAAATAAACAAAATGATGAGAAAGGGATACCAAGAGAAAAAGAGAGATAGATGCGAAAAGCAAGACAAAGGTAAAACATAATCGAAACAAACCGTCTTATGGTATCGGAGTGCTTATGCCTAAGTAGCTGAAGCTGATGCATCGCCTGATCACATTGAGCCTGCAAACCGTCATAGTCGCTACGACATTCGGGGCCACCAACTGGGCTTCCAACACTGCCATAGCTTCCACTATCCCCCTCTAGTTTTATGCCACAAGTGTCAATTCCAATAGCAAACATATCAGGGAAATAATCGATGTAACTTAATATAAAATGTAAAATGTACGTGTGGAAATGGAACATGTTTGATTTTATGTAATTTGTAATAAATTAAATACGGAAAACATTTCAAAGAAAAAAGTATGTTGCGCATACTACACTGGTGGATATAAACAGATTTAATTGTTCTCAAGCATTATACATAAATACTAAAAATGCGACAAAAGATATCACATAAAGATTCTATTGAAAATATGACGTATATTGACGGTCTATACATATATGCACATGTATTTTTGTAACACTTGTTTAAAAATAACTCTTACCCATGTTAAGTGCACCATCTGGAAAATTAATTATAAACACCTGTATTACTTCAAAATGTAAATACTAATCACGCATAAAGGAATATAGAGAATATAGAGAAACATAAATAAAGAAAAAAAAAGAATAAAATAAGTAAAAGTACGAACACCCTGAATAACGTGTTAAATTTCACAATAAAATTTAAAAGTCTGATATGCTTGTTACAGTAGAGGGAACAACATAATCAGAGGTCTCGCTAGCTTTCACCAGGAAAGAAACTCTAGGTCACGCATGTAAGCATAGTTTGACTCATTGTTTTCCTCAGCTAATAAAATTATCAGCAATATTTCATTATTACAAACAGTATAACAAGATATCTGTTGTGTCTCTTTCAAATCTACATAATTTTTTTTAGTATTTTATTTATTGAAAACGATACTTTCTTTGACGGAAAAATAATTATTCTACATTATTCTACAGGAACAATTACCTTGCGAAATTATATCTCAATTCATGAAAATAAATAAGAATCACGACTGAATGCAATATCTAATTCTGGGCTCTGAAATAAATATCTTCGAGACCTACATTTCATTTTCCTAAGGAGACTTCTCGAACGCGCTACAGAGTTTAATTCTCCGATAAAAATATTTCTGCGACGGCGGCTTGCGGCGATGTCGAGGACAACGACGTATCGTCCTGACGTCGCAATTAAAAATACAATGACGCGCTGACGTTAGCCGTACATATACAGTGGAGAGAGACGTTATCGAGCGAGCGGCCGTTCTCTCTGCACAAAAAGGAGTTGAAAATAAAAACTGTCACTCACCGCTGCTCCCAGCACTGTCCAAGGAGGATGCACCAGAAGCCATGCTGCTCAGTGGTGAGTCTCAGGGCACCGCAAGAAGGAAAGAGATGGAGAGAGAAAGAGAGAGAGAGACACACACACACACAGAGCGAGCACCGTGTATACGTGCGTGTGTGTGTGTGTGTGGACTGCCGTCTACCAGCACAGGCACCTGTTCTCACACGCCAACAGCAAAGTCCGAAGCGGCAGGTATCGCCTGGAAAAGCGTGTCGTACACTACCCGTACTTCACAGAAGAGCGAACCCTTTGTAAATTACTAAGCAGCCTTCGGGATGACATTATGGCCACTGTACACGCTCGTTTGTATGTGTGTATATGTATATGTGAGCGCCCGCGCGCGCATGTATATGTGTCACGTCGCCGTCACGCTGCAACGGTGTATATATCAGGTCCGCGTATTATCGGGAAAAGATACTATCAGGGGAGATAAATATTGCATCTGACAATGCGCGCGCGTACAAACACACGCGTAAACGTTACTCCGATACGCGTGTGTGTGTATGTATGCACATCTCCTCCTGTTTCTCCGCCACCGCCTCGACCTGTCGTCGCCGTCGACGTCTATACCCCCAATACACAGACACGTGTCGCGCGTACCATCCAAGAGATTTTCTATGCATCACTTCTCTCCCGTGCACTCCCGTGCGAGCGAGTTGGAGCGAGTGCACGCAGCAGGGAGAACGTGGGAGCGAGGAAGGGAGGGCGGCAGAGGTTCCGCGACTAAGCTGACCGAGCGACCGACACGCACGTCGCGGGGGAGAGATACGGGGGGAGGGAAGGGGGTGCGGAGAAGAGGAGCAACGCGTGTTTCTCGGAGCGGTGCGTAATAAATTAATCTACGCGCCAGCACCAACAACGGCAGCGTGTTCCCATCGCGATGGATTCACGTGCGATTTCGACTCTCCGATCTCGCCATTCGTTGTCCTTCCTTTTCTTCCCTCCGTCAACAATCCTGACTCGGTGAGTCTGACGTTTGTGAAAATACTCCGCGCTCGCCGAAGTCATCGTTCACAGGCACTACGGGGATCGCTTGTATCATCGACGCGAAGAGGAGAGAAATCTAAAAAACAATCGATCCGATGAAGGTAATCATGTCGATGATGATGATGAACCTTGATGATGAATTTCAAAACATGTCTTTGGCCGCGGCCGCGCGCGTCCTCGGGTCGTCCCTGTTCGCTGACGACGACGACGACGACGACGACGGCGACGACGACAAAGACGACGAAGATGATGCGTAAGCACAAGACGAGAAACACGTAGTCTGCTCGCTCACCTGCTGCACCAACCAGTCTGACAATTAGCCATTTTGGCTCGTCTGGCTGCGCGCGCGCGCGCGCGCGTATGCCTTTCTGACGCGTATATCACTAATTAATCTCCCGTGTCGATAAACACCACACACAGCACGAACGGCGGGCACCGACTGTGGCAGACAGTCGACTGTAGTCCGTCACAGAGTTGCCGCTATCGAGGAACAGCCAACTCTCGCGGAAGTCGACAACTTCACTGTGTACGCACGCCGCAAATCCGCGATTGTCGTTGAGGAGAGAGCCATACGTTGGCGCATGCGAACTGATGGAATTGAATGGAACGTCCAGTTGAATTCTTAAATATCATTGGACAATTCTGCTAGACTCATGCTCGACAATGTGCAATCATTGGGTACTTACCATTTGATGACATAAGTATTGTTTTATCTTTGTCTCTGAATGTTAAGAAGGATAGAACGACGCTTGTGTCGATTTGGGTTGACTTGTATCATCAAATGGAAAGCATTCATTTACAATTGAAACCGACTTTAAAAGCATGCTTTGACAGTCAAGTTTCCATAAAAAAAAGAGGGGATCATGTTGGTAGCAATGAAAATCTCTAGACGCCACAATTTAATTTTCTACGGATTGGTAACATTGTGTAAGTATCGAAACAGAGAAAAACTTATTGAGGGAGAGAGGGGAGAGAGAGAGGGAGAGAGAGGGAGAGGGAGAGAGAGAGAGAGAGAGAGAGAGAGAGAGAGAGAGAGAGAGAGAGAGAGAGAGAGACTTTTTTCTATAATTGCAAAACACCCCCGCACACTAATATCATCTGAGCAATAAACGAATAGATTGAAATGAATTAAAATGGATTCAGATTTTCAGAAATATTGATTCACGAATATTAAAATGAATGCTTTTCAATCCTGAATGCATTTTTATTCATTTATTGGAATTGCATTTATATTAATTCATTTATAGGAATTTTTGGAGCATATCTCTATGTCTTTCAATCTAAAAATAATATTAGCTTTTTCTGTGCAATACACATTGTGAATACTGTCCAATTCAAAATTTTGAATAGGAAATGCAGTTTTTCAATCCAGTTGAATCTAATTGAATCCAATTGAATCCAATTAAATCCAAAAAAAGTATTCGCTATTTATATATATATAAACTACGAATTTGGATAGAAAAAAATTTCAATACATTTTAATTGTATTTTATATATATATAAATAGCGAATACTTTTTTTGGATTTAATTGGATTCAATTAGATTCAATTGGATGCAATTGGATTGAAAAACTGCATTTTCTATTTCAAATTTTTTGAATTGAACAGTATTCACAATGCACAGAAAAAGCTAATTATTGTTTTTAGATTGAAAGGTAGAGAGATATGCTCCATGCAATTCCTATAAATGAATAAAAATGCATTCAAGATTGAAAAGCATTCATTTTAACATTCGTGAATCAATATTTCTGAAAATCTGAATCCATTTCATTTATTTCAATCTATTCTGGTTTGCTGGGATTTGATTTATTTCCATAAGGAGCAAATACAATATTTGTTATAAATATACAATTTTATAAATGCTTTCTAAAGATGTGAAAATATACATAAAAATCGTTTAATAAGTTTTAAATACTTGTAAAAGTGATGAAAATTAATCCAGAACAGAAATGGTGTATATATAGGTGTATATATAATAAAGATACCCAAAACTAAGATGTATGTAATAGGGTTAAATAAAGTTAAATAACTATTTTATTTAATCCTTACATACACACACACACCTTAGTTTTGGGTACCTTTACTATATATACATATATACAAATACATATATACAAATAAAAAATATAAAATAGATTTGGTATCGGTATAGGGAAACTTATTTAAAACAAATAAAAAATAAGTCAGAAGTGTAGTTATTTAAAATAATAAATACTAAATAACTCTTTATAATTTTTATTTAAAATATAATTATATGTATATTTTATACATATAAAATAAACTAATATAAAATATATAATATATAAAATATTTACATATATTTAAATAAAGTATAATTATATTTTAAATAAGTTTATTTTATATATTTTTTTAAAAATAATTATAAGTTATTTTACCGAGCCATGATCGACATTACACGTAAGTTTAAAAAATTTCTGAAACAGAATAATTTGCAGTAATAGTGTCTTAAATTAATTTATTAACTGAAAAATTAAATAATGATATTAACAAGATATTTAGTGCTTTTAGTCGAAGCTGTATTTAGCACAAATTATTTCACAGTATTAAGAAAATTTACATATATCTTTATATAAAAGGATGTATAGAATATTATCAACCTTTGTTTAAGCATGAATCATTTAAAAGTATAATGAAAATTGAGAAACATAATATTGAAATATCAAAAATATCTCGCGAATAATTATCAATTACGTTTAAAAGAATCACGCAAGTAATATAGGATTAAACTAGTGTTAGAGAAGCAAAGCGCGAAATGTACGACGATACTCGTTTGTTAAAATCATCTAAAATACAAATAATTGAATAAATCGTGAATGTTTTTTTCCATGTGCGACAGTTGAGTATTCAAACGGCGCCCGGTGAAAACAAGTGAAAAGCAAGGGGAAGGGTCGCGCGGCGAAAACAAGTGAAAAGCGTGGGGGAGAGTGTCGCGCGACGCGGTGGTTGGCTACGTCATCACATTGGCATTCGCTCAGCGACCTCGAAGGGAGACGGACGTGTGCATGAAACGTTCCGCGTGTCGCATTAATAAATGAAAATTAGATATCTACAAACGGTGAATTACGTAAGGATGCCTAAAACTAAGGAGTCTATCAAGGATTAATAGGTAAAATAGATTTTATTACATAATAATATATGATTTTTACTTTATTTCTTAGATTCATTACGCACAGCTCATGAATATTTTAAATATTTCATGTATTCTCGCATGTACGGTATAAAAATGAGATTCTTATTGTAGATTCGTATTGCAAATTGTGGTTTTTTTATCACTTCGAATCGTATAATTCTGTCTTTTTCGTGTTACTCCGCATTCTTAATACGGGAAAAGTAACTGATAAATTATACTTAAATTACATATCTCTAAATGTATGTGCATGCTATTTAGTATTTATACGTATTATTCTATTTAGTCGAAATTGTTTCATAATTTAAAGTAAATCTTTGCATTTATCTTTCATTTAAAGGATATATGACATTGTTAATCTTTATTTAATTGTAAATCACAAAAAAAAGCAATAAAAATTGAGATATAATATATTGGGATATCAAAAGCACTTTACGTGAGCAATTATGTATGAAAAATCACGCTAGTAAAAATCTCTTTTTACTTCTTGCCTTTTGTCAGCACATTGTAATTGATAATATTTAAAATTATAAAATGAACATCAAATATATTTCTTAGTGTATCACAATATATTATAATTACGATATCACATTGAACGGCTCGCGCCGCTAAAACTAGAAATCGTTTTATTAATCAAAGAACATACAAAATTTAAAGAATATATTATTTTACTTATTCGTAATATTCATTATTATTTCGACGTTAGAGACGGTTAGCGCGCGACCTTGAAGTGGAGATGGCACGGGGTGGCACGGAGCGGCGCGTCATGTTTACGCGTAGTTACCGCGCAGTTATTTCCTTACCGAAGCTCGTATAGGCAGGTAGCTGTGCCACGTGCCGCTCTTCTTTACATTCCTTTTTGAAATATAATCGCAAAAAATGCTAAATATAATACGAAACTTTATGAATAATCATACTAGCAATCGTATTATATGAATATTCATAAACTACAACTTTCGTATTACATCTAGCATTTTTCGCGATAATACTTTTCAAAAAGAAATGTGAAGAAGTGTGGCACGCGACACGGCTACTTGTCTGTACGAACGGTGTCACACACGAATCATAAAAAAGCAATGTTAGTATGAATACTCTCATGCAAATAACGCAATTCCTGCTTTCACAGTAGTTTAATAATTTAATTAATTTTTGTGTTTTCGTGCACCTTTCGTTATATAATCCGTTTAAAAATTAACCGTAACTTTAGAGCTATTTATCGGTAATAAAAGAAACATTTCTCTTTTTTATTATTAATCTCTAACCTATTTCATTCTAAACTTTAATCATATCTTACAGCTCATCATCTATGTAGAAATAAAAGATTTATTTTTTAAGATAAATAAAAGATCAGCCCTTTTATCTGCTCTAACTTTATTTCGCAATGATAACGAATTGCAGATGTGATATTCGTTTCTAAAAGTTAACCGAAACTTGCATAGTAATATAGATAATAGCTATATATATTACATTTTTCAGATTATCTTCCCTCTCACGGGTACACCTTGACGTAGTGGAAGGGCTCAGTACTCAGAGGATATTTACACGAAAAGAACGGTTTTTTCTCAAATATCTAAAAATTTTCGAATATATCTGGATGTAATATATTTAGATAAATTTTTAGATATTGAGTAAAATCGTTCTCTTCGTGTAAAAATCCAACGGAGAAGCTAACGTACCCTCGTCGCCGATTTACTTGAAAATGAACGAACCGCAGCCGGTTCGTCGCGTCGCGCGTTTCGGGAGTGCCGTTCAAGTTATCGGACTCAAATTATAGTCCGCGCGCGATTATATTTTATTATTCGCGAGTGTTTTACGCGAGTGTCCTGTGCGAGATGTAAATCATATTCTGAGAGGAGGAGGAGGTCTGGGAGAGACATCGGGCACCGGTGGAGCAACCTTGCGGTAAATATTATTTTTTACTTATATAAAATTAATCTTTTTTTGCTTGTTTTTAAATCATTTTATTAGACAATGATTTAAAAATGATTATTTTATATAATTATTTTTTTTTTATAGAATAAATGATTTAAGTAATTATATATTCTATAAAATCATATACCCTCTAAAATAATTATGCATATATTTTTAAAATAATTATTATATATTTTTTAAAGATCTCAACAAAAATAAATTTGTATAAAATTTTAAAGTATTATTTAAATTACTTTAAAATTTTATACAAATTTATTTTTGCTAATCTTCTTTTGAGAATATATATAATTATTTTAGAAAATATATATAATTATTTTAGAAAGAGAATATATATATAATTGTTTTATATTTAATTAAATAATGGGTACAAAATTCGATACTTATAAAAATTATATTTCCAAAATTGCATTATTATTTTTCAACAAATTGCATGCGTTCATATAGCAATTATTTTTTAAAATAATGATTATTTCTTTACTCTGTTTTAATTTGGATTTTAATTTATTTGTTACAGAATCATCGTAGCGACGTTGCAGATATAACTCCACTATTGTTCATCGGATCGGTGAGTAATGAATCAATCATTTTTATTAGGGTAACGGATGTATGATAATTTTATTAGTATATTATGTACATACTTGAATACATATACAATATACGGACAAATATATGTGTAGCATTACATACATCCGTTTCCTTAAAAAAACAATAAAACTGATTAGGATAAATTTAATTAAGTATGCTTGATTCTCTTGCGAATTTTATAAATCTATCGAATTTTCAAAAATTATCATTAAAAAATAGAGAAAAAATTAAACTTAAAGGAGAAATTAAGCGGGATAATGTGGATTAAGCGGAATAATGTGATAATTAAGCGGCGATAAGAATATTTTCAGAATTTTTTAATACTATATTTTCTCATATTATTAAAAATGAGAAAATGCAATACTAAAAAGTTCATAAAAAATTCTGAAAAAATTCGTAGAATTCTATAAGAAGAAAATATACAATTTTTATTTCTTGCTGTTTTTCTGTAAAGTTGATATTTGAGTAAAAAATTATTAAAGATCGACAATTTTTAGTAATATCATTTTAATTATTGTGAAACTTAAAACGGTGGAGAACTTTTCAACAATATATATATATATATAGAGTGTAGGATGTCTGATAATTAACGATAAAATTCTCGCATAGCGACAGAATGGACTAATTGTCGAAAAGTTCTCCACCGTTTTGCAAGTTTCACAATAATTAACAAGATATTACTAAAAATTATCGAATATTGATCTTTAATAATTTTTTACTCAAATGTCAACTTTACAGCAAGAAATGAAAATTGTTTATTTTCTTCTTATAGAATTCTACGAATTTTTTCAGAATTTTTTATCTATGGATATATATGTGTGTGTGTGTGTGTGCGTGTGTGTGTGTATACACACACACACACACGGTATTTAAGAAATATATACAGTTATTTTGAAATTAAAATTTTTTATAATAACTTTTTTAATTGTTTAAAAGGATTTACATAATGATTAGATATAATGATTTAACAAGAGTTTTAAACTATTCTTAATTCGATATATTTATTTTATTAGAAACTTTTGGAAATATTTTATGACAATAACGTGCAATAAAGTGTAATTTTTAATAGTATACTTAAAATTGTAAAAAAATATCAACTAGATTAATAATAAATTATTCCATTACAGAAATAAAATTATTATTAAGAAAAATGATTTAAAACTTTTGTCCAAACCATTATAAAGATCTTCTTAAACAAAATAGTTTTTATTCAAAAAAGTTTTTTATATAACTCCATTATTTTTAAAATTATTGTATATACTTAAATTAAACATAATGTATATTCTTCTGAGAGCAATGAAATATTCGTTAATTGTAAAAATGGATGATTAATATTAGATACAAAATATATTTATGTATCTGACAATAATATTTTCAATCTCTCCTTCTTTTCTTTCAATCCGTTTTCTCGTTTTTAGTAATATAATAATGAATATTTTCTCTATAATATAATCTTTCTTTGACTTTCTACAAGGCCAGCATAGAAATCACACTAGACAATGGTGAAACTTAGTTTTCGGAAATGTCGAACAACGATTTCCGTAATTGAACGCAATCTTTGTCGTTATATATGTACATTGGTAAAAGTAAGAAGGCTCATTTGAATTCTTCACGAGTATTAAATAGTCATAATATAAATCCTCTATAGATATCTAACAGTAGGTACAAGTATATAAGATGTTTCCGAAAATATTTCAACTCACATGTTCCATTATCAAAATGTCTGTCACTTTTTTAATAATATGTACGCCAATTTAGACTCAATAGACGCGTCGATTTTTCCAGTATTCTTGGTTTATTTTGGGTTATTTCTTGCAAGTCTAATTGAATCATGAATATTTTGACCGATTCTATCGCGAATCTGTATTGGACACAATATCAATGATTAACGAAAAACAATTCGTCAGTATTTTAGAATTTAAACGAGAGATTTCAATTTTATACATTATTTTCAATTTAACGTATTTAGAAGTATATTTTTTTTCTTCCCGGAATAATTTTAACATATTCATATATGATATATAATTTGTATATCTTTCCTTTTCTAGAATAATATATCTCGTTACTGAAAAATGTCCACAAGCCTTTGAATCTTTGTACAATGACATATATAAAAGCTTACTTAAATAGTGCTATAGGAGTATTAGTTGCCGTTCCAATTAATTTATAGATAATGTGAAAGCATAAAAACAGCATAGATTCAAAATATATTATTCCTATCCAGTCTTCTAATGCCAAGAGAAAATACTATTTTATTATAACGTAAATTCATTCGACAAAATACTGTGACTTTAATATCTTCAATTATATTTTTTATTTTTCTTGTTTTGGTATCTTTATTTTCATTCAAGAAAGAAACCAATAGTTAAATTATCGGTATTACAGCAACAGTATCTCTCTTTCTTTTTTTTTCTTTCTCTCGAATGTTCTTTTCAGTAGTATATAAAGTGTTGTTAGTACAATCAATCATGTTATATAAGCAGTAAACTTTATGTATTCTCAAAAGAGTAATTCGAGGCGACATCGCAGAGGCAGTGATAAATGTGATGTTTTATTAAAGTGAAAATGATGGTTCTATTTTTTCCCGATAAAAATATTTGACGAAACAAAATTTGTAGTTTCCTTTCAACCTCTAAAAATAATGGAAAACGGGAAAATAAGGAAAACGAGGGAAATAAAAAAAAGAAAAGCTGTGAATTTTACTACATTAAACTTTGGTATTATATGTGAGTGAACGTTGTTGTTCCTCCTCTTTGTGCCAGTTTGCTTAACGCCTTCAAGTGTTTGTCCTATATTAACGATTATTTACAAACATTACAATGTACAACGTAATTTATGTTAATAAAAATATTAATAATAGTAAGATTGATAATAATAATAATGGTAAGAATCGTATTAATACTAGCTGTATAAGACAACAGAAAAATCGACATTCATCAACTAAAAACGAATACAAAATGCTTAACTTTAAATGATGAATGATAAACGATAACGCGTCGTTTATTTGCACGTGCGACAAAAATAATAATATTTTGTGATGCATATACTTAAATAATTTGGTGCTGTGTGCGACTGGTTAAAAAAAAAACGCTTGAAATCAGTTTCTCACTAAAACTAGCACGCGAGGATGGTACGGATATAATTTAATCTTATAGAAGTATCTTCTAAAACTACTCTCTGGTATCTAAGTACTAGAAAACTAATAAATGGATAAGTGTTGTGCCGGATAAATGTATCTAACGAATACTGCTAATGACATATTACTTCCTTCTACAATCGCGTTGACAAAATGTCTATCGACTATCTTAAATAGTATCTAATTATGGAAAAAATTCTGTCCAATTGTGGATAATCTACGTTGTGGAAGAATAAACGGAAGTTATTAGGATGTTGTTAGCGATAAATAGATGTAACACGCTCCTATTGAAACGCATTGATAATTTTTGTTTCTTCTCAATGTTGAGTGCTTAATCCGTCTCTTAAGATAGCTAATACTACAGATATTCCTACTGCTTCTTTTTATATCCACATATGTATATTGACTACGAATGGTCAACTTAAGTCTACTAATAAATTAATAGATATAAATTACACGTGTTTTATAAGTCAAACAAGAACTAACAATCTTGAATCTATACTACAAGTATCTCGAGGACACTTTGGTCACTATACACAGTTTCAGGATTTGAGTTAATCTTATCTCGTATATGACTTATAGAACTTGTACCGATCTCTATCTATAGAAAGAAAATTCACTTTGAACGATTAATTCTCGTAATAAAGCATCTAAATTGCAAATATATGCTCTATATGCTCTTATGGAGCGCTAACGATAAACCTTTGGAAGTGATGAATGATTCCTGGTGAAGGTACACAGTGTTTAAGTATTGAGTACTCATTAAGCGTTTGAAAGACGTCTTAACATTTTACTTAACATTTTTCTATCATGTCCTTTAAACATCTATTGGTATTTCGTATGTCATTTCAGTAATCTCAATATCAGACTATACACAAAAGTGATATAACGAAAAAGAAATAGCGTGCGTGCAAAAGCCATGTGAAATTCGACAGATTTTCTAACAAAGACAAAAAAAAAATTATTGCGCGCATTTTCGAAGACAATTTTCCAGACACATCTACACATGTAATTGCATTCGACCGTAAAGGCCATATTATCTAATATCTCGTGAGAATAACTATCGATCGCGCCTAACTACACGTTGTGCTCGTAAATTTCACACGGTGGACGTTTGCTGGTTGTTGTTATCTAGCGGAATGCTCGTGGAACATTCCTTCAGCATTGCACGTAATCGTAGGATCTCCTTGGACGCTGTCGCCAAATCGGATTCTAGTTGTAATTCCTTTTCTCGACGTCGTTTCAATTCACGTTGACATGTCTACAAAACAGATTGCATTTCTTTATGACCGTAAGTGTTTGAAATTTCAGAACAAAAAAATTTTAATTTGATTTATTTCTTACTTACCACATTTTGCCGTAGCAAATCCAATTTGTCGCACTTGAGCCTAGTGACCTCCATCCTTAAGTTTTCGTTTTCCACGATCCCGTCTTTACTGGTACACCTTGTGGTATCGTGAGTCTCTGCGGAACTCATAGATTCGAGGCCAGTGTCACTATCGGGATATACGGCCTGATCGAGTTCGAGTTCGCTGTTGAGCGAACTGTCATCGCTCTCTGAAATCACTCGCTGCGTCACCTCCGTTGTTGTTTTCTCCTGCGTGCGCAGATTCTCATGTGTTAGTTGTTGCACCATTGCCGATGTCGGCGCCGGGGATTTGTCGATGACAGAAGTATCGTTGAGGCAGATGACACTCGTGCCTTGCGATTCCCTGCGATCATATTCATCTTGTTGCAATGTCACTAGGCTACTGTCTTGATTGTCGGTGTTGGATAGGCTGCTGTCTTGGCTACCAAGACTACCGCGTTCCGAGTCTCTTCTCAAAGTCAAATCCGGCGAGCCGAGGGGACTGGATGGTTCCACCGAACGCTTGCTGCTGCTCACCTTGAATAGTTATTGCAGATATCAATTTATTTAATCTAATTTTAATTTATAATCCACAATTAAAAATTTTATAGTTTAGCTTATATCTATAGTTTGTATTCTGTATATTTTTATTATGATTTTTTTTTTTACGTAATCAAAATCAGTTACTAAAAGAAAACTTTATTCTATACATTGTATATACATTGTATATCAAGAATGACAAGAGTATTTATTACGTTATATAGTATTCAATATAATAAATACTGTTATCTATTCTCATTCATTTACCTTCGTAATAGTTGACTGTCGATTACTTGGAGGACTGGACTCTGTCTGTTGACCTTTCTTAGCTAACTGTTGCGGCACGCTTTCCGTTGATGCGTTTCTCACACGAGAGATCAGTGCTTTCCGAACCGTGTCGATGAATCGCGAGCCACTGCCACTACTTCCTGAAGTAGATACATCGTTCGTTGTTGGACTTACTGGACAAACGCTTAAGCCGGAACTTCCTAGGCCAAGTGGACCACCAAGAAATTCTGCCGTTTTGGTTTGCAATTCTTCCGTTAGGGATTCTAATAAGGCCGATCTAGTCCGTAGCTGAGAATCGTACAATTATTTAATTGTTTTTTTTTTCGTAATATTTTTAAAAATTATAGTAATCTATTGAATATCCAATATATATATATATATATAGGAAAGAAGCGAGATAAAACAAAGAGATTTACCTCCAATTTGGAAAATTTCTCGGCTTTATAAGCGGCGTTCTCGGCGTTTACAAGTTTCGTGAGCAGGAACTCTTTAAATTCGACACCTCTGAGAAAAACTGCTGGAGTCGGTAGAGTTGGTCCGAACCAGGGAACATCATCACGCGCTGTCACACTGACTTTGTACCTTAAAGTTTAATACCTCTGTTATTCGTTGTTTCTCGTGTTAATCAACAGCGATAGTTTTCACAATCGCGACGAGAGATATTAAAATAAATGAATTCTGCTAGGTTTTAGCTCCGCGGAGCAAATAGCGTATAAACGGAAAGTAACTAAGAATCTAAGAATATACCTTGTATTAGGAGTGCAGGGGTCGATGACTTGCACGACGATGAAGGCGTGCAAGAAGTGACTGGCGATCATGTCCGGGCTGAAGGGCGTCGGTTCCTCTTGAAATATGATGGCAACGATGTCATTGCCGATGTGTCGTTTGCGCTGTAATTGTTGCGAATCACCTGGACTATATGGCAATAATGAGGCCACATGGAACAATACTTCCCGACCCCGAAACACCTCGTATACCGCCGAATCGCCAGTCTGACCGTGTCGAGTATCTAATCCACCGCGATAACTACAATACGCAGTCAATTAGAAAATAATATAAAGAGTAAAATAAAGTAAATATTAATTAAGAATAGAGGAGAGAGAGAGAGAGAGAGAGAGAGAGAGAGAGACATATTAAAATTTTCTATTAATCAATCTTTGATTTTATAATTTTATATACCTTTATGTTATGAAATTATTTTTTATTAAAATTTATACAAAAATCAATAGATGCGTGCATTATATAAATCATGTATTAAAAAGCATTTTAACATAAGTTCTTTGAAAGTAAATAATATTTTCTTAATTCTTTAATCTTTAAGACACGAATTTTTTTAAAACATACTTTGCTGATTCTTAGTACATGGAGGTTGTAGGGATTACTGATTGCAAATCTAAAGTCGAAATTTAAAAAGTCAAAATGATACAAATCCAATATATTAAAAAAACTTTCTTACGATTTATACATAATTAAAATTTTATAAGAGTTTTTTTGGATTTTTAATTTCAAATTTGCAGTAAACATTTGAAAATTCAAAATAATGGATCTAAAATCAAGAAAATTTTTATTATTTTTTAACAAAAAGTATTGCTGATGCAAAAAGACAGGTGTAATGTATATAAGACATACAGCAAAGAATTAAAAAACCTTACCCCTTGTGATCTTTGAGATCGATTTTCTGACCAAGCAAATCGAGAAACTCCTGAAAGGCCGGGGTGATCTGCCGATTGCCGAAGAGTTGTTCCTCGGTGAGTTGACCGGCTCGCTGATGAAGAACACCAAATTTAAACCTAGAGACCAAGGCGTGTTCGTCGTATCGTGCTATCAAAGTACCGGCGCCAGGACACATGACCGGCATCAGGGGGCTCACGTTTAGAGACTCATTGATTGCCTGTAAAAAAATATTTTTGATGATAAGGCGCGAGAATACGTAATCAACGTACAATTACGAAAAAGCGAGGCAAGGTCTTTCCTGTGTTTTATCACACTAGCGTGCCTCCTTATCTTTCTTCTTTCCTCGGTTTTCCTCTCTCTTTCTCTCGCTTCCTGCCATACGATCGCGCACGTAACAGCCGAGAAAGATAAAGCATGCACACACGATGAACGTTAAATTATTCAGCGTATTTATGCGTTTTTGCGCACATAGGAATACGGTAGAATATAGGATCCAAGACCGGATATAGCATTTCCATCGCTCGAAGGTAACGAATTTTGAACAGTTGCTCTATGAAATGTTTTATTCATTTTTTGAAAGTGCTCGAGTTTTCTATCAATACATATTTCTGTAGTTTTTGCATTGATCCCAAATGTTTTATAGCCAGAAATGATATAAGATGTAAATGTAAAAAAAAAGAAGAAATAAAAAGTAAATTTTAAATTTTATATTTTACTACTACATATTTATGATCGATTAAAAAAAAACACGTTTTTTTAAACGACTAATAATAATAATAATTATTTATTTATTTCATTTGATAAAGATTCATACATATTCGGATAGAAATTCATATAGATTCGCACAAATTCGAGAATTTTTAAATCTGTCTGATGACTGTTTATTTTATTATGACAATGTTTTTTTTTTTGTGAAAGTGCACCAATGCAGGGCCGCCGTAAACAAGTGTGCAAATTGTGCACTGCGTAATAGCGCGTATTAACAAGGACAGTAAATTCAATTTAAAAAATCAATCCTGTAACATCAATTGCGTGTGCTCATTGTTAAATTTAATTTCTTCTGAAACGTGTATTGCATATAAATTTCGTATCATAAAATTTGAAATCATTAATCGGATCGAATAATTAGAAGTTATTTCTCGATACTATTAATATCTTTTAGTACATCATATAAAGCTATACCATATTTTAATACAGATACGAAGTAGGATACTGATCATGTAACATTTTTTTCTAAAGCGAAAACATGAGAAGTGAAGAAATCGCTTTACTTTTCATTTTTCATATTTCTGCTCTAAGAAAAAGTTACAATATCCTAGAAATAAAAAACAAAAATAAAAAATTGTGCTCTTGATAAAATTATTTAAAATTATTTTAAAAGTCGCTTATTTAAAAGATTGATAAGTAAAAATATTAAGAAGGGCAGTAAAGTTCCCATAAAGGCGCCTTATATTTCAGCGGCGGCTCTGCAAATATATGCAAAACAAGAAAAAAATGCTATCACACAGCTATTACGTAACTCAACTAATTATAAGTACGATTAATAATTCAAACGCGCGGTGAGCTCGCTTTTCGAGAAATCCGACTGCGGAGCAACTGTTTGATCTTAAAACAACAATTTCGAAAAACTGGGTCTGTGAGCGTTTCAATTTGCTTGTATTAATATCGTTCTCCGTAAACACAACGTGACTGTTGTCTCAGGCGTTTCTTATTATCTCTTCAAACACACAGGTAATCGAGTATGCCTGTCTCGAGTGCGCCAGTATAAGCGGCGTCTCTAATACATAAACAACGTATGATAAATTGCACAATAGCTCAAAGAAAACTAAGTACAATTTTCACGTGGCAGGTTTAAAAAATGAAACGTAGCGTTCTGCTGAAAGAATTCACCTGGATTGATTTCAAAATATATCGAACTATTTTACGAATTAAATGCAAATATACAAATAAATATTTTAAACCAAAAGTTTATATCTTTATCCAATGTGATCAACAGTGAAATTTCTGAATTAATGTTGTAAGGATTTCTCAGAGTCTTTCTCACGCGCTTCTTATATAAGAAACACGTTTCGATGTTCCTCCTTGCGTTTTAATCTAAATTTTATTGCGTGATGTCACGCCAACTAGAAAGAATTATTACCAGAAGTGAATGTCTTTACCTTGACCATTTTCCTCGGTGTAGGATTCGAGTTGAGATTCGTAGTTGGAACCAGGTCATGTGTCGATCCTGCTCGAAGTCGCAGCAACACCCGCCAATGTTCTTGTCCGGCGACCGTCTCGGCCTTCACCGAGACCAAAACCGGACCGTTCTCATTGTCCCTTCCCACGAGATTCACGTGTTCCTGCAGAAAAAAATCGAGACGATAAAACGACATGTTTCATAGTTGTACAGGCTAATGATATGCAATAATAATTAGTTACGGTTTCTAGTTCCTTCAACCACATCGTTTTTCAAGAATTTATCAAAAAACTAGGAAAATTATAAATAACATGAGCAATATTCAAGGATGGGTAGAAAAAAACTGGATTGATCGGAAAAAAACTTAATCTCTTGTCCGCGATAATTTTCCTTCGATGCAAGCCTGTTGAGAAACTCGAAATTCATCTAGATCATCGAGACTCTAGTCTGTCTTCGAATGTAAAGAATATAATAGAAAAAAATCTTTCCAGAAAGTAGTGATAAATTTAATAAAAAGATGATCAAACTGAACTATTAAGTGTTTTTAAGTAACTGTTGTAAGCATTGTTAGTAACTCGTGTTCGGTGATATTTCTTTAACGCGTTAGACGTTAGTTTTTAATATAAATGTTGCTTAATTCCTTGAAAAAAAAATCATGAATTTTTTAATTCTGTTGAATTTTTCTACAATAAATATTTAAAATGGCGCCCTCCAGTATACTACTGATATACAATCATCAACAACGTTTAAATAAAATCGAGGTCCAGTACTTTAACGAAACGTCGCTGAACATGCATTTTATAATAATTAAAGTTACTTAATTTTATGAGATCTTTTAATAATATTTTATGTTTGTCGCTACACTTTCCGGAAACATTCTGGATATACAAAAAGAGTTAGTTGACGGATATGTTAACACCGCGGGATGTAACCGGCGTGGCGATGCGCGTGCGTTAGAACAATTACGGTAGTTCACGCGTTCCGGATTCAATTAGTTGTTACGAAATTGCCGTAAGTAAAATAATATGTATACGCGAGCGATTACGACCCTGAGCGCACTGTGTTACGCAGCAACGTGTTCATACGCTTTTGCAAACTGCAGTTAGTGCGTTTTGTTTCACGTGTGTACGTTATACACGGTGTCCCTCGTGCGAGGCTACGTATTGAGGACAATATATTACGCAAACGGTCTTCGGCGAATTTATTAGCAGGTTTGTCCGATTAGCAGCTTTTCGTCGCAGCCTCATTTCGAACGTATATTCAAGAAGTGAAAAAGAATAAATTCGCAGTTAGTTTTCCTTTTTTGATACATATATATCCTCGTCGCAAAAGTAAGTTGCACGAATAGTTGCAGAATATTCCAAGCATCTATCATTATCAAAGTTACTTAAGAGGCCTTTCACTATGCACTAAAAAAACGCATATCTCAGTAAATAAAAAAATGTATAAAATTTAAAAAAATTTAGAAAAAGTTTTAAAGCTTAAAATCTTTATTTTTGGAAGATCAAAATTTGATCTTTTGAGTTTCTATCAGTTTGTAATTTTTACGTATAGAAAAATACGAATTGATCAAAATGGAAAACATTCTTCTTTGTAGGTTTGTCACGTGATCAACAAAAGTTGAAAATTTTCAGCTTTCTAACGTGAAAGCTTAAAGTTTTCCTTACAATCGTTTTTTAAAAATGTTCGTAAGATTATTGAATTATCGCGGATTAAATAAAAAGAACATTATGACTTTCACTTTTTTTAATTTCTTATTTTCATAATTCCATTAAAAGTCATCTTACTGCAAAAAAGAGCAGCTTAAAACTAAAATTTTGCTCGATCAAGTGGTATAATTGTCAATTTCTTTTTTTTTAATGTAGATATAAAAGCAGTAGCGCTACAAAAAAAACTTTTGTTCCAATTCAATATTATACAAAATGTTGATTTCAATTATCCGATTTTTTATTTAATTCATGGAAACAGCCGCACGACAAATTCGCGAGACTTCTGAATACGAGGGAAAGGACAATCCTCGGACTTTCTGTTTCTCGGATTTTTTAAATTAGCTGCGAGCAATGAGCGTTTTCTCCATTTTACTGAAGCTGTACAATAGTCGGCAGGGTAACAACGGCGAATAAAAACGGTGCATCATCGTTGACGTGCATTTGCATGCGAACAAAAATGCCGAGAGAGGCTTAGAGAGACGCATGGAAGGTCGGGTCGCATGCAGAATATGGTGTACGATGAAATGCATACACACACCACTCCCTTCCCCTCCGGTGTTTTACTAACCTTCAGATGGAAATAGTGGAGGGAGTTAGAAAGGGCAACGTGCCCGGAGTTCACAGGAGTTCATGCCATCGAGATATTGTACATACGTTTATTACCACCATTGTCATTATTGTAATAATACACTTGTGTGCATTACTGTAATAATGCACACAACGGAGTGATTTTATTAAATTATTAAATATAATAATATTATATACATTAACTGATCTAGCGTGGATTTCAATGAGATTAATTGCAAATTATAATTAAACTGATTGTTAAATTAATTGCAAATTGAAATTAAGGTTTATAAAATTAATAACTTTATATAAAATTAATAACTTTATTCTCTTAAATATTATAATTCTTATCCAAATTTTACTTTTCATTCTCAAAATTTCCGTTTCCATAATTCAAGCTTATGTATTTTCCAATCTTTTTACCTTTTATAGTAGAGAAATTTAATTCTTACCTGTATCTAATATTTTCTTCTCCTTACTTCATAAATATTATTACGACTGATCACAGTCATCCCTTCCACTTAGTAATATATAGTCCCTGAGCAATTATTATTTTTTTTTAGAATTTTTAATTTAATTTATACACTGAGAAAAAATGTAGTCAATTTTAATAAATATTTAGTATTCAATTAAATATTTATTAAATATAAAAATATATTTATTTGATACAAGAAACATTAATTTGACAATCGTTCTTTTTACTGAACAAATATTTATTTACTGTAAGTAAAGGTGGCAGTATTGACTACATTTTTTCTCAGTATATTATAGATGATTCCGCAATATTAATAACCTAATATAATTTCATCTCTTCCTAGTATACTTTTATGTACGTATCTATGATGACATGATGTCTTTCGAGAATCAGCCGGAAATTAAAATTATGATCTATAAAAATTGCGGCAAATTTCAGAGGATGTCTGATATAAATTTAAGGCAAGAATACACATGATGTATTTTTATTTGCGCGTGTATTAATTTTTATCAAGAGGCCTCGAGCGAGGTCTCTGTGTCTTAAATGGCAAGAAAATATTCCAACTTGCCATTACACGAACTCCAAGTCGGCGCGCCCTCCTATTGTAAGCAACATGCTTACTCTGTACTTCACCGTCTCCTTTGTTCTTCAACCTCTCGATTGGTATCGTTAGCCGTTATGATCGGCTTCGAGGTGTATAACCGTTTGCGCTGTTACGGTTCGAATTACTTGCGCACCGTTGTTATCTCCCGCAATTAATCGGTTCTCTCTCTTTCTCTTTTCCACGTGTACGATCCACGGCTTCTTCTCTTTTCTTGACGCGCGTAACAAACGACATTACAACGAAACACGCGATACCGGTATATCGCGTACTGGCGAAGTCAGTTGCGTGTTCATGCTGTACTATTTTCACGACGCGACGTAAAAAAAAATCGATCTCACGTGATCGTAAGGATTCAATTTTGACAGATCGGTTAATCGGATCCGGCTTGTGTTATTATATTATGTAATACGACTGTGTGATGTATGCTTTCTTTGCTGAACTTCTTACGAAATTAGTAGAATAGTAAGAAAGACGTGAGACTTATGGGTCAATTCTAAGCAGAATCGTAAGATCTCGTAAAAACTTGTAAGACCTTATCATTAATATTCTAATTTTATGTATCGTAAGACGATTATTCATAAATATTTACGATCTATTTCTTGATTAGTAAGAAGCTATTTGTAAAAATATTATATAAAAATATAAGGACTTAAAATTTTTTACAGATCTTACAAGAATAAATGTTACGAGGTTATGAGCCTTACATACAATTCTGCTTAGAATTTAGGCATTAGTTTTTTTTTTCAATGGAGTATTTTATTAGTGGAGATTGAAAAGCAAAATTCGAAAATTAAAACGCAAGCTTTCTGAATTTCTATTATCTTGTATCAATGCGGAGAGACTTATAACACTATGTTTACAGTATACTTACAGTATTTAAGTTATGTAATTCAAAAAGTTGGACTTACCCCAACGTTTTCTCACAGATTATTATGAGAACTATGACATATAAGAAAACGTAAGCAGTAAAACGTAAATAGTAAGGAGTCCGCATACATCTTTCCATAACAGTAATCGTAAGACATATCGTAAGAATTAGCCAATCAGAATTGAACAATTTTGACAATTCTTAACTGTGATTGGCTAATTCTTAAGGAGCATTTATACTGATCTTCTGCTATCGTATCTGTAAGAATTGATCAATCACAGTCGAATATTTCTCAACAAATTACGGTCTTCTCTTACAAATTACGGTCAGTATAAATACTTCTTTATGTATGTCTTATGGTTACGGTTATGGAAAATGCGTACGGAAGTCATAAGTGTATCGGTCAATCACAGTAGAAAACGTAAGGCTATAACGGGAAATTTTTAATGGGAAATTTCGTTAAAAATAAACGGTATCAAATTCAAAATATTCATTTGCTTACTTCTTACATCTTACTATTTACTTTTTTTATAGTTTTAGGCTGATATTACATTTGTCGTGCGACAAATTTTTCAAGCGTTAATTGGCTGTAGAACAGAGAATCTCTTTGTTTCACAGCCAATCAATAGGCTTGAAAAGCTACTTACTATCATACGACAAAAAATGGATGAATGTAATATTAGCTTTAAAGGATTATTTCACAAAAGTATGGCTTTCTATAATAAATAAAAATTAGGTAATGGTTTTCTATCATAAGCCATTACTTAAGCTTAATGCTGATTCTACAATGAATCGGTAGTCCTAAGTCTTATTGGTGAATCGATGAAGTTGGCCAACAGCCAATTTATACGACTAAGGCCCGGTTGCACCAACGTTACTTTGACTTTAAGAGAGACTTAAAACTCTCTCTGTCTCGTTTTAGAGCGAAAAAGAGACAGAGACAGAGAGAGTTTTAAGCCTCACTTAAAATCAAAGTAATGTTGCAATAGAGCCTAAGACCGATTTTCTTAAAACTGGCCAAATTCGACTTTATTTCTTCCCATTAGCCAAGCTAAATGAATTACTGTACAATTAACAGCTTGTAGATGCGAAAAATCATAGCCACCTATTTAAGTTAAGACTGGTTAAGATTTAAAGATTTCTGACTACTCATTGTAGAATCAGCTTAAGTCTTAAGCCGTAAGAAATTGACCAATCATTATCGACCAATCATTATTCTTCTCACATTCGACAGTGATTGGTCAATTTTTTACGGCTTAAGACTTAAGCTTAGGTAACGACTACTTGTAGAAAGCCTATAAAAATTTAAAACCTTATATGTCAGAAGAATTTCACGTTGTAAGTCAGAAAAATAAGCGCGATCCGAACACCGCTGCACCGTCGGGTAACAATAGGCGGAACGGGAACTCATCCGTCGAGTCTTATCTAGAAAAACTGCTTGCTCGCTGCCGGAAGCGGAAAATAACGCGTTCTTTTTCTTACGAGCTACGCACGACTTAACTATTCGTTAATTAGCAAACCTTCCAGTAGATATGCAATATATATTCTAAAAAAACTTGCAGAGTTTAATAATAATACGAGTATAGTAACCTAAAGAATATTATGATTCTCACCAACGCGATTACAATTATTTCGAGATAGTCCTAATCACCTAGCTAGAATATTTTCTATATTCTAAGTAAAAGTCACTATCATTAACTATTTATGTATTAATATTTGAAATGTATTAATAAATTTACTCAATATTTTCTCAAAACGTAAGGTAAAATAAAAAAACAGGATTTTTTATCAGTAAAGAAACTGTGACTGAATTTTATTTTTAATTAGTTTCTCGTTGATAAAGTGTAAAAATTATCCTAGGTGACTATAATAAATAATGATGATAACTTCGCTCTCAATGGGAAATTTCATTATATCGACTATTGTCGTTTAACCATTTGTTCTATGCAGTTTTAGCAGCAATTTTATATCGCGAATTTCCATCAATGGTTCTGTTTCTCGCGTATATCCTTTTTTGATCGAGAATTGTTCTTTCATACACAAATCGCATCCCTCTCTCTCTCTCTCTCTCTCATATTTTCGAAGGAAATTTTTAACCGCATCATGATAATGACTGATTCGATTACGGGAAAGGAATAAAGAGAAGAAGAGAACCAAAAGATGGAAAAGGTTGAAAGAGAGCGGTAGAAACGTAGAGACAGAAGAAAATCGCGGGTAGGAATCGCGAAAACGACCAACAACGGATGAATCAGAAGAGAAGAAGTGAAGGAGAGAAGGAGAGAAGGATTCCCTCTTAGTTCCAGGCAGCGGACTTTCGTGCAAGCTATGAGAACGTTCCCACTCCCACGTCCAAAGTGCTCTTTTCCTTTTCCTACGTGCTTCCTCCTCTTTTCCCTCCCGCGCCGTGACTCTTCCTTTTCTCCTTCTCGTTATTTCAGTCTCCTCCGTACACGTCTCCTCCTCCTTCTTTCCTTACACACCTACGTACATCGGTTGAGCGATCGTGGTTCATCACGGTTCTTACGCTCGAATATGGTTGCAGAGGCGGAATAATGTCCGCCCTGATCCCAATGACGAATCGAATGAATTAGGGAAATCGTTCAAGAAAGGACCATCGGTTGGTACGAAATATAAGGAAAGCCTGTGAGAATACCCGTTGATATTTCCGAAACTATTAGATCTTAGAGCAGACGCACCGTCTTAAAATAAAGACGCCTATAGATGTCTACAGATGTTGACAAACATCCACAATTTTATCGCGCGTCTGTCACGCGTAAATTATCTAGACCATCATATATTTTTCATATATACTATATTTAACCGAAGATCACAGAGACACAAGTGGTACAAAGATCCTCCTGATGTTTTGAACTTTTCCGTATATGTTATACGGGATTGGGAAGTTATATCTCGAGAAATAAGTAAAATAATTTAATAACGTTAGAAACATATAAGAAATATATAAGATCTTTGTATTTAAAATAGCAATGCGAACAGTACAAAAAATTAACAGAACTGTAACCGAAAAGTAGCAACTCTTGATCTTTTAAATAACCATAATTTGTAACATGATACTTTTCAGAATCGATAACTTGTAACGGTAACTAATTACTTTTTAAGGGAAAAAAAAACTGTAACTGTAACTAGTTTTACAAAGTAATTTTCCCAATCCTAGCGTTATATACAATAGCATTTTCTGAAATCTCTCTGCTGTTCTTTACTGATTCGGTTACCCAGCTCTTTTATCTTCGTAAAAAAATCCCGCGATGTTAGATATGTTAGATAGGAAGTTGATGAAAATGAAACTCACTCTGCCGACAAAGAAGCGGCGGTAGCATTTGGCCGTGTCATCCTGGTCTATCCTAGGCTGCCAGGCTGGCTGCGCCGGTAGTAATGCTTTGCCGGCGGAATCGAGAGTATGTCGATGATCGGTACCGTCGACCCAATACCCGGATGGCGTGACGACTAAGGGTGGCTGGACATTGGACACAGCTTGCTGTTGCAGAGCTGCTTCCATTAGGGCTCTCCCCAAGGGCGCATCGCCCATCGGTGTTGGCGATAACGCTGATGTGTGATTGCTAGGCGCACCACCGGGACTCGACGTTGTCCTGTCATCTCTCGGTGTCTGCAACAAAATTGTAAAACATTCATTAATTCATTCGGAATTTGATTAATTATTCGTGCGAGGTATTCAGGTAAATATTGACATATATAAAAGAATGAAAAAGCATTATTGAGCATATAATTATAGATTGAGTAATTTTATTTTCTTACTTAGTATGCAGTTAGAGAGAGAGAGAGAGAGAGAGAGAGAGAGAGAATCTATTAAGATCTATTAGATTCTATATTCGTAGCATGTGTCATCATTTTTCCTTTGTCTCATAAGTGTTTTTTTTTTAATATCTGAGACTCATCATTAATATTTTCATAAAATATTATTTTTATATAATAAATTTTATTTAAATATGTAATTAAATATTAAATGAAAAAATATCAAATAATCAATGTTAAAAAAGTCCAAAAAATTTAATAAAATTCTTTAATAAAAACTCCAATAAAACCTAATAAAAATATTCACTGAGTTTTTTAAAGAAAAAACCTAGGTTTTTTTTCTAATCCTATCAAAAACGAAATTGTATGACAATAGTTAAGTGACAAATAAACCAATGTATAAACGCTAATTATTCCCATTAAAAGCTTTGTGTAATGCCAAAGTAACATTCTAATAAAAAGATATTGTGACTTCATTGTAGAGATACAAGATGAATCAATAATCGCATAATATAACGCAATAATATAACATAAAAATTAATAATTAACAGAAAAAAAGTAATATTATTTCACGTAATTATAGACTGAGTAATTTTATTTTTCTAACATGCGCAGCTATATAATCATTTATCAAAATACCAATGGGTTTTCTTAATTTAATTTTGTTAATTAAACCTCCCTCATGCTCAATATCGATATCCAATATTATTATTAATATTATATATAATCATGAATCCGAGGCAGAAGTGTAATACAGAACGTCGATACTCTCACATCAACTTCCTCACGTTGATGTCACCGAGTGTTATTGGCTACTTGTTTATCAGTCGCAGTGTAGGTGTTCAATTGTTCGTTTTCGTGGCTGGCAACATTGATTGCTCTATATTGCTGTCATATATCTCTCTTTCTCTCTGTTCTCCGAGGCAAACACGATCGATCGGAATGGGAGGACGCGACCAAAAAGGAGCCGCGCGTGTTGTAAACGTCGTAGAGAGATCGAGGCGAGTAGGTCGAACGGTACGACGATCCTATACGCTGGCGGCGAAACTGAAGAAACGGAAACGTTATATGTCCACGTGTCACTGTACACCAATCGCACCCACGTAGAGTTCCTGCGGATACTAACCGGTCAGATGTCGACTGTGATTCGATACGAGTACTCCGTATTTATCCCGCGACGAAGCGCATAATATGATAACTCTAAGCGATAATATGTATAACTCTAAGCATCTCGCCCACGCGAGCGGAAACACCTCGACTGGATAATTAATAGTTTATTCGGGGATTAATGTCTGCATAATATCGGCGACACCGACGTGACGATAGTCATGGTACGATCGGATTTATCTCGATCGATGTTTTTATACTTTCTTCTTTTCCTTAAAGATATATAACGCTCTTCGATTATTTTAATAGAAGAAGAAAAGTAGCGTTCTCCATTCGCGATTAGCCACGTGCAGTTAAGTGCTTTTACAAAGTTAACGCGCATCGAACACCTGCGGATTTCTCCAGCTGCGTAAACGCGGTCGCGTATAAAAGTGCGTTTTCTCCAGGTCTTCATTAGGCAAGATAGTGGCCCACTAATATCGAGCATAATTGGTTATTTCATATTTAGTAATCTGAATCTCTCAAATCATTAGCATGGGGTTTATTAAATCTACTTCTTTTACTTTTCTCTCTGATATAACTTGAGCGCAAACTGTAAATGTATACTCACAAATGTACAATTATTAATTGTTATACTGTTTAATAAAAATGATTTTTTTTCAAGTGTAAAGATAATCGTTTGCTACAGCTTTTCAAATGTATACAATTACATTTATTAAATTGCTCTATCATGTGATCATGTCAGAAAGAAGAATTTGCGATTAAAGTTGTAAAAAACCTATTTTAATTGTATATATTTTGACGTATTATATTTTTGACTATAATAATATATGATATGTTAAAGGACTTTTATTGCAGTCAAAATTAAATGTTGTTAGGGCTTTAAGTCTCAAAAGAGAATTTGTGTCAATTATAATTAAAAAGATATTTATGATCATCGCAAGATCTATTGCGATTTATATAGACTATTAAGGATTTACTAAATATCTTTTTATTTATTCAAACTTAAGGATTCAGATTACTGAATATCTTCTCCTAGATGAAACCAATGAAAATCTTGGAGAGAATAATTGCGAACCAAATCTTTCGATACTTGGAAAAGGATCCAGGAGGGTATGTCACTTAATCAGTATGGTTTTCGTGCGAGTAAACATACGACGTAATTCTTCGGCTTAACATAATTAAGAACATAATGCAATTTGCAATAAAAGAAGGAAGAATAGTTGTCGTAAGTTTCGACATAGTCATGCTCCCATGGCCACATATTAACGAGGTCATGATCACGAAGGAATTGCTGAGTTACTTTAAGGCAACTATCTTCGTGATAAAACGGCTTGTATATACACGGATAGGAACGACTATCTGATAAGAATCCCGGTAACGTGCGGAATTCAAGACTCTGTTCTGAAAACCCACTACTCTGAATTACTGCTTATAACGTGATCATGTAAATGTAGTCACCAGAATGTTGCACTAACCTGTGCTACGCATAATAATAGCTAAGACTATATATATATAATAGCTACAGATATACGAAGAGACTGTAATTTTAGTTGGGTATAGGAATTGTAGTTCACGGAATTAAGCAACTAGGATTAGGAAGAGTCGTTTCGCATGATCGATAACCTTTTTCTCTAGAAAGAATTGAGTTTGTAGCTACCATTGGAAGAAACCTGAAATAAAGTACTTAAGGCCATGTTGACAAGTCAGAACAATTAGAATGCGATAACAAACATTTACAAAGATTATAATAGTGTTAATGAAGCACATATGTCAATTTGCACAAAAGGACGTAGGGTATCTTGACTTGTCGTCTGAAGGAATCCAAATGTTAAGGGCATTGTAGAATATCACCATTGTAGAGTATCTTTATTCGATCAAGGATCACTATAGAGAGTACTCCTTCTAAAAGGTACAATCCGATTCAACTTTCTTTCGATTGATTCGATGAATCCCGGCTACGAATCTTCTGAACTATCCGTAATAACATCAAAAATCCCTTATATATTAAATTTCAAAGAATACGTATGTAAGAAAAAATGTCTCGAAGAATTAAAAAATCTTAAAGTGTGTGTATATTGTGTGAGCGTGTGTATTTGATTATTAAAAATATTGGGATCCTCTTAGGTATATGTAAGTCACAATTTTGATGCAATAACATCATATATTAATCACAAATATTTTAACTGATGATCGATACAACAAATTTCTTTTAAGGATTGAAAGTTCTAACATATTTAATTTTGATAAAAACTTTTCCAACGCATTAAATATGATATAATTAATAATATATTGTGTACACAATAACGTACTAATATAGTCCTTTTTGCAACTTCACTTCAAATTTCTCAAAATTGTGATATGTAACAATTTGATAATTGAAACGTAATTCGAATAAGCGCACAGAAAATTATGAAAACTTCTTATGCTTTTTTTGAACGTTACCAAAAAGATAAGAAGAAATATACTGAAAAAAATTTGCCACACTTTGTAGGTTTCTGCAAACATTCGAGCGAGAGAATTTGATTGAGTTTAGAGGCGCGCACGCGATCGGTCGTCAGATCGATATACATACATTATGACCTCTCGACGGAATAATACTCCATTCTTATGGAGGTACAACCCGCGATAGCTTTATCGATCAGGGAATGGGATTACATTACCACGCGCCTCGTTCGCTCCGTTTAATGCACGTGTATCACATACGACCGATCCGCGACATTGGGTGCATATTGGCGCGATTTAGTTATTAAATGTCACTATACAAAACAACATATCGCCGTATCGATCGACCTTGATCAAATAGTCAAATTGGGGATTATTAATATCGTCTGCGAGTTGATTACGATTCGCGCGATATTGCGATGATCTTTCGGGCGTCATATTAATAGTCAATCCGCAATCGATTCCAAGTATATATTAATTCTAATATTGAAGATATTTGAATTAATGTTACTTTTCATGTGTGACTTTTCAAAGAAAAAGTTGATTGATTTCTTAATATTCTATTTCTTAGTATTCTATCAGCGAGTTTTATTGTGTAAAATGCTGTAGTAAAATTTGTATTGTTATAAGTCAGGCCTGTCCAATTTGAGCTCGGAGCCAAAACGCAAAATCATCGATGCAAAAAAATTCAACAAGAGTAAGATTTTAGCAACTATATAAAATGTTGATAAGCGTCACTCACAATCAGATACGTATCAATACTTTACAGTTCCCTAAATCTTACTCACATTGAATTTTTTTTGCGTCGATGACTTTGAGCTTTGCGTTTTGGCTCCGGAGCTCAAATTGGACAGGCCTGTTATAAGTATACATGATAAAATATTGTGTAATATGACTATAAATGAGACCGCATCTTTGTAGGTATCTATGAATAGTACACTGAAAAAAATTTTCTGGTTGAACGAATCAGAATTTTCTAGTTAAATTTATTAAAATTCTAGTTGAAATAACTGGAATTTTGATTGATACAATATTTCTGGTAAATCTATTAGAATTCTTATTTTAATCAGAATAATTATGTCAATCAGAATTCTAGTTATCTCAATTAGAATCCTAATAAATTTAACCAGAAAATTCTGATTTGTCCATTTTCCATCAGAATTACTATTTAATTCAACCAGATCATTTTTCTCAGTGTACACTAAAAGGAAAGATTGGTTGAATATAGCATTTTTAATTGGTTGCACCAATTAAAAATGCTACATTGTATTTTATCATCTAATTTGCTGTTATCATCTGGTTGCAGCAGCCAATCTTTTCTTTCAGTATGTACTTTTTACTTCACATTGTTACGTGTGATTACGTGTTCAACATTTTATATTAGATAGCGTTAATTTTTTATAAGCGTTATAGATTTTTATAGCACCGCCCGAAAGATCGTCGCAATTATCACAATATCGCGCGAATCGTAATCAACTTGCAATCGACATTAACATATCAATGATCATTACAACAATCAATCATGTCAATTTATAGTAGATTGGAATAAAACTTTCTTTACTTCATTATATATGCATACATATATCTTTTCGTCACATTTATTATCCTCAGATAATACGGATACATCGAAGTCAAGCCTAAGAAAACTCAGTTCGCTGATTTATTTCAATAGAAACCGTTCTATTTCGAGTTCTGTTCCGTTTGAACGGGGCACGGTATAGAATGAACACGATTTTAACGAAGTGAGGCGAGGCGAAGAGGAAAAACGGAGTGGCATGAAACGCGGTTTAAAAGTAATGCGGATGTGGCCTCTCGGATTACGTTTCTTCCTCGTCTCGACTTTTCTGTATTCTTCCTCTTGCGAGAGCATTTCCAGCCGCCACGTGTCTCCGGAAAAAGTGGAAAAGTTAAAGAAAGAAAAAGAGAAACTCCCCTTTCGTCCGCTAATTTTAAGCATCTCTAATTTCGAGTGTGTGAACAGAAGAAAAAAAATCTGAAGATGGAAGCGTTCGAAAAAGACAATAAAAGTAGAGAGAAATACAGGGAATGTGTGCAGCCTCCTCCGCCAAATATAAACTTCGGCATGGCAGTCTGGGTAAAGGACGGGGAGAAGCAAATATCGCAAAACGTTTTGGTTTCTGCTACCACGTACTCGTTATATTTAGAGTACTTTCGAGGTTCGGTCGCGATCGTGACTTTGGATAGATTCAGGCTAATTGGGACGCTTGGTAATACGCACATGTATTTAACTTTTCTTCCGTCAGCCAAGATTTTTCAGTTGTTGAATGAGTTATTGAAGATGAAACATCTTTCGAGACACTTTAATATCGGATGGATCTTGATGGCTTTCGAAAGTGTTAAGGAGAACCGTCGCGACCCCGATAACACGTACGCTGATATTCAGCAGCTGCTGTCAATATATTATTACTGGTACCACCTGCCGCGATACCATATGTTCGTATTATTAGCACCCACTGCCCGTGTTTAGTGGTCCACGTTCACCACGACCGTGTAACGGATGGAATGTACTTTACAGGTGACTTTAAATGCCATCCGGACTTTTCGAAAAAGAATGGAATCGAAAAAGAATTAAATTCCTACAAGAAAAGCAGAATTTCACGTAGAATCAACAAGAAATTGCATTCTAATTAGGATTCCAAAGAGAAAAAAATACCATCAACTATGAAGTATAATATATAGTACAAAATTTTTTGAAGATAAATAGATGATATATTTTGAGAATTATAAACTATTGGTTTGTTTCTAGATAGACTGTATAAGAAATATTTAAAAGAACATCGTTAAAAAATTACTACATAGCGATTGGAACGTTTCATATTAATTATCTACTCTCTAAAAATGAATCAGTGTGTATTATTACTGACATCAGTGCTACACTTATAACTGATGTAATTACAATCAAGTTCAGTAATAATACACACTGATTCACTTTTAGAAATTATTTGAAATTATTGATTTTCGGCAGATTCAATCTGTAGAAACCATAACTTCTAAAAATGAATTAGTGTGTGTATTATTATTAAAAAACAGTAAATATTCGCTGATACAGTTATAAGTATAGCATTGAAGTCAGTAATAATACACTGATTCACTTTTAGAGAGTAGCTTTTGCGAATTGATCATCAACACTAGATCTTAATTAAGATTCGTTTTTTTTGCGTTCAATTAATTTTTTCAAGGTTTGACAATTTCACTTTTACTGATACCAAATAACACAAACATTGGCATACATACCTATGTATAATTCCGCGCGCGACTTATTGTCAACCGTCGATGTGATTGTAACGTCCGCAATGTACCACGCATTCTATTTCCATCGCAGAGAATCCGAGGTGAAACTCCTTACTATTAAAACGCGTTCGCGCGTCTTCGACATTTACGGTGGTTTATTAACGTGAGAGCTAGCATGTACATTGCGAGAATAACGAGCAGAATAATGTCCCTCGTTATGCGCTTTTCGTTATAAACGTCCGTTCCCGACAAATGGCAACTTTTTTCCACGAATTAATTAATTACGACGATGAGCGTTGGCTCGGTTAAATAAGAAATTGACGCGCGTAACATCATTTATATTGCAGTAATGATCTAACAACGATAATGATTGAACGCAAGAATACCTCGATATATTATTTTCCATGAAAGCACAATTTTAAAAGTATGAAAAAACTGATTCTGGAGTTAGAAAATCTTGGATTTATCTGGATTAACTTTAAACCCAATTTGGATTATTTGATTAAATTACAATACGTAAATTGTAATAAGCTGTTAAGTGATTACTGCATGAATCAATTAAATAATTTTAACTTTAAATAACTACAATTTTTTTATAAATTATTCAAGAATCTATAAGAAGCATCGTACTTGGTTAAAAATAATTAAAAAAAAATTTTTATAAACTAGCGTTATTATCACGCGTAATTTTATTCGTTGCTTATCTACTTTGCAATTAATTGATCCTGATTTAATAGGAAGGCCGCGCATTAAGTTCTGGAGAAAGTTACGTTCACGTCTTGTAAGAGCACAAGGGCTGATTGTATTCGATTGGCTTATCTAAAGTGATTCACGTGGCTTAGTCACACACGTGCGAGGGAGCAGACGAGTCTTGGGAAGAGACCCATTCGGATCTCGTCAATTGAACGAAATAAAAAGTCACGCTCGATGCGCACTTTGAATAATTTTATCAGCTTAAATTCGCATTAAGTTTAATAGAAATCGTTAGAAATAACAAGTAAGATAGAATTCAAAATATAATTTCATTCGATACATACTTTAACATCTCATTCTACCAGCACAAAACGAGTTGTTTAATATTTTTAAATTACAATATTAATATAAATATTCAAATTGTATAATTATAAATTTAGATCGGAGCTTCATTTATTTTTACTAATTGTACAAATTTTTTCGAATATATTTTATTAACTATGAGTCTTACAATAGTAAAGATAGAATAGATTGTACAAAAATTTTGAATTTTCAATTTGTACAGACAAAACAAAAAGAATAAATAAATAAAGTAGTAATTGTTTTTAACTAAAAGGCAAAACTAAAAGACTTATCGAGGAAGTAAATTCTAAAAAGTTATTATTATAGTTATTATACATTTGACTATCTAATAATATATTAATAATAAGTGAAAACTGATAACTGTATAAAAATAAAAATATTTTTCTAATGTATTCCTTAATCATTATTAGCTCCAAGATCAAAATAAGACAGATATGTATAGAATGAGCTGATTTAGGATTATTAAGTTAAAGAATAACATATTTTTTTATATATTTTAAATAAAAATACGAAAGTATGAAATATATGCATCTAAACAAAAACATCTTTAATAAAATTAAATCTATTAAAATTTCTAACTTTTAATATAATGTTTAATATTATAGTATAATTTATTATATGTATTTATGTACGTATAATTTAGTATTTAATATATGTATAATTTCATTATCACTGTATATTATTATTATTCAAATTCATTAAAATTAAAAAAAATTATTGCATTAAGTGCATTTAAAACAAAAAAAAAAAATATCCTAAGACTCGTCATTAAATGAGTCAGTAGTCATAGTTTCATGATAAGATTAGCCTAATAATTCAACAATACTTCAGAAAAAAAAACAAAAAAAAACATTTACGGTATACGAATACAAAGACAGATAAATACAAGTAAAAACGAACTGTTAGGCTTTATTAAGTAAAAGTTTAATATTTAAATAGAAATAGGTTTTATTCTTGAACTTTTTTCAAACTCATACGGATATAGATTACTATTATATATGATCCTAAAACAAAAAGTTCAAGAATAAAAATATTTATTTACTTATGAGAACAATTTTTCAAAAATGTATCACAATTTTCTAACATAAGGTGCGTAGAGATATCACAGGACTGAGAGCAAGTGAGCAAGCCTCTGCACGCTTAAGGCCGTGACACAGACTTTTGCAGAACGCATAGTGTATAAAAGAATCAATTAATCAAAGTTCTTCTTTTCCGTGAAGGAAGGAAAGGAAGGATTCAGATTGCTTGATTCTCTTATGCGTTATGCAAAAGTCTGTGCTGCGGCCTTTAGGGTTCCGATTTCATGCGTTGCATTAATTCATTCTTGTTGTCTATCTACTAATAATGCTAAATAAACAAAGATAAATGATGCTTATAACTTTGATCGCGCAAAACGGAATAGATTCTTAGTCTGATATTTTATGTGTTGGTCGACAAGGCTTTCCAAGCCTGTTGATCTCCAAGCTGCGAGACAGAGAGATTCTCAGATCTTTCTATTCTGTAGCCAATCAACAGGTTTAAAATGATACATAAAATATAGCATTAGACACGTATATTTAGTGTTTTGTCTTTATTCTCTGATACTCGAGAATCAAAATCCAAATCATCATCAGTATTCTATCTACTATTCTGGCTATGTTTACACCGTGTGCTTAATTCGCGACCTATAGATGTCTTTGTTTAACCTACAAGATAAATAAGGACATCTATGATATAGGCCGTGGCCTAAATGCATGGCGTAAACGTAGTGATTGTCAATTCATCAATTAATCACACACGATCATACTGTCAGTATTTATTAATACTGACAATATTATTGACCGTGTAGGATCACTTTCATAATTCCCTGAAAATTGTAAAATTCACACAAAAATGTTATTAGATATCGAGATCCACTTTGACGACTAGATTTCCTTCGCTTATTTGTTTATAATTTATTATTAATGTAGATATCAAATATATTACATAAACCATTCATAAAATGCGTGAAGTATAGACAATCTTAAAAGAGGTATATATTTCATATATAGGATATTATACAGCAATGAATAAAGAAAGAATAAAATGATATGTGAAATCACATATTTCGCTTCTCACATTGTTCCAGCCTCGATGTATCGCTATCTATGCGTTTTTAATTACATAACGAAAGCGAAGAGCGTATTGTCCGTATAATGTAAAAGGGATCCTATCTCTTGGTCAACGACGCTCAGGAAACTGTATTGCTCATTAGCATCCGTCCGCCATGCGACGTACAATCATGTATACATACGTACCGCCCATATCCGACTTATATAATGTCTCTCTTCATGTTTATAAATATCTACAAGCGCGATAGAAAATGTGAAAAGCCGCGTACGTGTGAGTACATAGACGATAATTATACCTTTCGAGATATCACAGATTGTTTCAGTTTATGTTCGATCATTATTGGACTTCGAAGCTGATTCGCATGCACAAATTATTTGCAATATCGACATAGTACCACGCAAACGTTATGCGTGATTACTTTTGCGTACTTTATAGGTTGCTGTTATTATTAGATTACAATCTAGTCAACATTTTCATCATTTATCGGAATTTTCTAAAATTGCACTTCGTGCGATCATAAAGAAATGTCATGCTCGACCGTGGTCCAATTTGCAGGCTTACAACGCTTAAGAATCATTTCATCCTTGTTTGCTGAATATTAAACAAAGACGAATGATGCTTATGAGCATGAATCGAACTTCGATCCTGGTGAGCTACAAGACAAGAAGATTGCAAATTGGTTGTATAGACTAACGTCTACCAGCGATTCAATTATAGTCAGAAGATCGTATAACGCTTCAAGTTCGAGAGAAGAGAAGATCACGCGTGGAGTAGTTTGCTATTTCCCAAGGGCGGAAAGTTCCGAAACAGCATGATACACTCTTCGTCGAATAACGGCTTCTATCAGGGGAGTCATCGTCGATATAGTGCGTAGGTCTATCTACTGCTAACTAACCAACCACGGTCTGGTTGCGAACAATAGTCGGCCGGTGGGCTGTCGGCATGCAAACGTGGAAATTGTTCGATCCGGATAAAATGAGCTGGTGAGAAGAAGATGAATTGCAGGAAATTAATGTCTACCTGACGTTTGAAGAAATAAGGGATTAACAACTGCATACTTAAATTTAAGAAAACATATAGACACAACTATAGACACTTCGTTCTACAAATTTTAAAGAGTAAAGAATATTAACCTTGTTTTAATATTTTTTTATATTCATTCCATGAGAAAGAAAAATGAAAACTACGCGACTAATCGTTTTTAGGATCCCCTTAAGAATCGCAAT